TATAATCAGAATTGACAAATGAAGTGTGAGTACAAATAGCTCTTCTAACTTGATCATTCATATGGCACCACTAGTTGCTTTTATGACATAATTTGTCAAATGGTGAAATGGGTCACTCCTGGTAAAATGCTTCTTCAATTTTTAACCAAATTTAATGATGCCAAAGCAACCAATTAGGTAGTTGATGGGAATTTAGCTTATATACCAGATTTTTAAGGGCAAGCCATTGGCCAAGGATTCCTAAAGAAGCTCAGTGGATTAAGAAAGCTTCTTACTGATTGATGAAGATTTTATTGGAAACAAGCCCAACTTATTGGTTACCACCAATATTTCAAAATCCAGTAGATCAAAACAAGTACCAACAGGCAACCCTGCCCAAGGGCATACTTCCCATTAAAAGGACATAGCTTTTTGGACTCATTTTCCCTTCTTTTTTGTTGCTGACTTATGAACAAAGAGTTTTTCATAGTTTTTGTGGCAGGCAAATGATATTGATGTGGAAATCTGATTTATATTTGTGGTATTCTTGTAATTGAATTCATGTGGATTTCAAGAAAGTTGAGATTCTTCAAGCATAATGAACAAAACAGCAAAAAATGGGGTTTCAGAATAAAAAAACACAAAGATAACTAGATCTATCTCTTATGACTGAGCAGTATCTGATGCAAAAAGATTGTAAAGAAATTTCCATAAGTGAAGATGTAGAAGAGAGTCTTATTTTAAGGATAAGAAGGGTAAATTGATGCCAAAAATGATCTGTAATTAGCTTTTCTATTACATTAAACACCCAAAAAGGGATTGTACCAACAGTGGTGAGATTGTGCTATATATCTTTTGTATCACCTTGTCTATCAATGGTAGTGTACTGGAGGTGGAATTTTACAAAAAATCCATGCAAAATTATGTACATTTCAGTTTTTTTCAACATTGAGCTTTTTCAACAGGCTCAAATAGCACTCTCAACAATTTGTACAGGAGAAAGGTTGCCAAGGTTGCCAATATAAACCTTGCTCTTTATACCATATCATTTTCCCATTTCTTCAGTTGTGATTCTCACACTTTTGTTATGGAAAAAATTTGAGATGCAAAACACAAACTTCACAAAGTCCCTCTTGCTCTGGCTGACAGAAAATTTAAAAAAAAAACACTACCACAGTAATGGCTTCAATTTGGGGCAAAATATAGCACTTATCCTTGGTTTTTGATATAAAACAATATAGGGGACCAAGCAGCACTGCTACTTCTACAGTAGTGATCCAATACTTCAGTTCCATCAGCTTCAGATAAGGTGAATTCCACTTCCACTACTGCTTTGGCAGATTAGAGGAGCACTTCAATGCCTTGCTGATTCACTGGTGATTTTTCGGTAGCCTGAGCCTAATTTTATCTACTGTGCTCACATGAATACCCTCCAAAAATTCAAGACAGTTCAGTATTCATCCAGCACTTTCAAAGTTGGATTGCCTTGACTGGATTAATGCACTGTACTGAAATGATTCATTTGAACAAAGTTTATAAGTCAGATTGTTGAACAAAAGTAGGTTAGACTTTGGAAAAATGTTAGAGGCAATCCATTTCCTTATATACTAACTAGGTCATGTGAATATTAGCCCTATAACAATCTATGATGTTTTATCTATTTCATCAAAGAATTATTCATCTCAAAAAATGGCAATTTTATGTATGTTACATGAGTGTTCTCAATGTAAAACCTTGTGAAATTGTATCTTCAAGTTGCATCCATGAGTGAATAGTGTGAGGCACCATTTTAAGTGCAAAAGAGGTTTTTCAAGTTAGGGAGAGGTGAATAATTTTTGACAGCTTGTAGGTTGGGAAAAACATGTGGCTTTATAAACTGTACCTGGAAATTTTGGTGTCTTGGGATCATCAAGACTCAAGTTTAGCCTCAATATTTCAGATATAAACATTCTTTTTGTTAGTCACTTTTTTGTCTGTTTTGTTTTTATAATTTTTTTAATGATTCTTAATTTTTCATGCTACACTGGCCCTATCCTCACAAAAGTTCTCTACCTATGATGTTTTGCTTTGTTTTAATTTTTTCTTTTCCCCTTATTCAATTTTTTCTTCAATTTTCTTTCTGCTCTTGAGTAGGTAGGCAAGTTTCTTTTTAAAGACCACAGCAGCTTTAGGAAAACAGTTGAAAGGGTCCATTATTAGGTATGAACCAACTTGGCAAAAAACTTGATCTGGGCTGGATCCCCAGTTTTCATCCCCATGACATTCAATTTTTGTTTTCAGGCGCATATGTTTTCCCGCAGATTGACTGCTACAAAAACAAACTTCTACCCTCAAATAATATTTGAACATTGATCAATATTTAATTGTGTTTGTTATCTTAATTTTATTGTTGTGGATTTGTGAAGAGGAGAAATTTTTAGAAAAGCCTCCATATTTCCAGGGAGATTCATCATGTCACATGAGTTGTGAGAATTAAAATTTTGGTACGAGGCAGAAATCAATGGCAAGATATGGTTTGGAATATGACATTTTAATTTTTGCTAAACTGCTGAAAAGCTGAATGTTAACAATCTGCTCTGGTAAGATATGTCATCAGAATGTTTCAAAGAAGAGCCAATTGAAATGTGTTGCAAGATGAAAAAGGGAAGAGAGATGATCACTAGAACAAAAAACTAGACAAAATTATTATGAGCCATATTTTTGTTGCTTGCATAAGGTTTTTTTTCTATGTGTTGTGGAGAAGAATCTTTTAACTCCTGAACGACTTTGGCCAGGTTTTTGTTAATTTGGAAAGAACATCCTTGGTGTGTCCAATTACGCCCTTTTTTCATTCAGAGTGATTCAGGCGGTTGGGTGGTACAGTGTTCAAACATGGAAGTTTGCCAAACAAGCTCGACGATACCAGCGGCTTTGACAAAGACTATTAGATAAGCATGTCGAGGAAACAAAAACCCATGACCCAATTCAGTGGATGGGGGAGGGATCGGTTTACCAGTTCCAAGTTCGATATAAGAAAAGAGACCATAGGACCAGCCGTTGATGTCGTTTTTGTCTTGATGTTGCTCGTTATAAAAATCGTTGTATGTTACAGACACATTGGAGGCAAACTTGTACTCGGGCCGATCCTCCTTGCGCATTTCTGACCACTCCTCCTGAGACCGTATTCATTCATCAAATTTTTGTTTTGTTCGTAAGCACTGCGGGAAATTGCTTCCATTTGTTGAGAGAGAAATTCGTTGTGTGATTGAAGCTTTGCCCACAGGGTATCGTCTAGGGCCTTTTCAGCAGGGGTGAGATTGGTTCTTCGGGCGTATGTACCTGTGGAGATAAATATTCAATGATGAAGCCTTGAACTGATGAAGAAGCAGTGAGAAGAGAAAGTGCATACCAGCAGATTTACCGCCATCGTTCCCTGGTCGAAATCCAATCATGTGCATTTCTCCGTTGATTTGGTTGTGGTTTCTTTTGTTGCAGGGGAGGAATTTGGCCATAGCGTGAAGTGTTTGGATTATATCACATAGTTTGTTGAAGGTTGATGTTGGCGGGTTGATGTTGAATGAGTGAGTTTCAAAAATGAATTGAGGGGTCAAGGAAGATGATGACACGATTTGACGGGAAGGTTGCGCTAGGATTGGAAGCTTTATGACATACTTTGGGGAAACTGGGGTTTGAGAGGGTGAACAGATGATAAAGTAAGTATCCTCCGAAGTTCCATTCTTCCTGTGAGCTCGTGCAATCTTCTTTGCTGTACCGGACGGGTATTGGGGCGGAGGATTACGAGGTTTGGGAACTGGAATTGACATTGCTCGGGCAGTGCAAGAAGAAACCACACGAGTCTCTTTATAGCCCTGATGGTTGTTGGCCTTTCGCCTTGCAAGCAAATCAGGGCTACCCGGAGACAAGGGGCTCTTTGATGGGACTGATTGTTCGTTGACAGAAGAAGAAACCGCACGAGTATCTTTATGGACTTGATGATTATTGGGTTGATCTGGAGACGAGGGGCTCTTTGACGGGACCGTTTGTTTGTCGACCAAAGAAGAAACCACACGAGTCTCTTTATAGCCCTGATGGTTGTTGGCCTTTTGCCTTGCAAGCAAATCAGGGCTACCCGGAGACAAGGGGCTCTTTGATGGGACCGTTACTTTGTCGACCAAAGAAGAAACCACACGAGTCTCTTTATAGCCCTGATGGTTGTTGGCCTTTTGCCTTGCAAGCAAATCAGGGCTACCCGGAGACAAGGGGCTCTCAGATTGGGTTGGCAGAGAGAAGGGTGATGCACGAGTGGCTGGCAACATGACCGCACAAGCCCCCTTATGACCCTGATGATTGACGGTGTTATCCATATTGAATCGATCAGGTGCACCCAGGGGCAAGGGGTTGTTGAGTTTCCGAGCTCTGAGTTCGTGTTTACGTTTAGTTTGAGTCATTTCCTGGAGCAACAGAGCTGGTGATTGAGTTATTGTGGCTGAACGAATTGCAAATGTAGTGTTGTAGATCAGTAAGCGTTGAATCATAGAGTTATGAATCGTGAAGATAGATAAGAAACTCATACTTGCAACAGCCTGGAAGAGATTCAGAGAAGCCTGGATGGAATTAAGACCAAAGTAGTTTGATTGCTTTGATGGTGTTCTGTCTATAAAGAATGAGAGAGGTGAGACAGATCAAATCAGCCCAGATCAATCAATGTAAAAGGTTTATGATTTTTCTGATCAATCAAAGAGATAACAAACACTAGTCGATGAGGGAGAGAGAGAGGTGCCTGGTTTGTCTCTCAAGACAGAGGATCGTTGGTTGATTCAGGGGCCAAGCAAGTGCTAATCAACAAATGGGACCAGGAGAGATCGTTTTGCCTAGACGACAAACCCTGATGTATCTGTGAGAGGTACAAGTCTGGATTGGAATGATTGAGGAGATGAGTGGAAGAGATAGAGACTAGATTGTTTGATTATTGACAGACGCACATGGATAGATCTCAATGAGACAGAAGCTCCAGAACAATTCGGGAGGTCTTCGAGCAGAGGGAGAGGATGAGATTGAGATTGATCGTTGAAGGACTGCAGCCCAGATTGTTTCTGAACTAGAAAGAAAAAAAGTCAATACACTGTTGATCCAATTGATAGAAGAGGAACAGGCCTGAGCAATTGATGACAATGGAAAGATGAGATTAACAGCTTACCGAGAAAGCAGACTGTAGATTACTGACAGAAAGAGGCTGACATTGGTGGTTGGTGAGGGGGTGAGGTTTATCGTTGATGTAGCGAGCGAACAAAAGTGAACTCCAAGCGGCAAGCTGGGAGGGATCGCGACAAGGGGGTTACATAAACAAGGCCAGTTTGTTCAATCGTGGAGCAGACACATTATGGCTATGTAAGAACAAGGTAAAATTAACAGTGAGCTGGGGCAGATGTTCGAGATTGTTGGTACAGTTTAATGAGTCGAGGTTATTTGATTCATGAGTTGATAAAAATGGTGTGGTAGAAAACAAAGAGATCTAAGAATGGATGTGCGTTCAACCTGACCGAGGTAATTGTGATACTAATTGTTAGTTCTGATGCTTTCTGGTCACACCAGGATGCCGCCCTAAACTGCAATTGGGCAAGCTGCACATGCATATGTGAAAACTGAATCCCGTGAATGCCTATTCATAACTTTTTTGACATAGAGCCAAGGGATAGGAGGATGTGAATGTGTGTTAATTTAGTTAGTCAAGATGGTGGATGAGAGCAACCTGACTATAATAAGTGGATGTGAGAATCTGAGATGGATTGAATTGTGTTGGTTCTGGCCAGTAGGTTTTTGAAAAAAGATTTGGAAACCCAATGGCAAAGAGTAGAAGAATTGAAGAGAGACCACGGTGAGTGAATTTCAACAGGAGCAGTGGAGGATGGGGCTGATTCCATCATGAAAGAGAAATGCAAGTATTGGGTTGATATCCACAACTAATCAGTAAGCTCTAAGTAACCAGAAGAATTGATCAAAATAAGAAAAAGGCTTGGCCCAGGAAAAACCGGATTCACAAAGGGGCAAAAAAAGTTAGATTTCCCAATAGGGATGTGAATGAGTCAAATTTAGTGAGAGATGGATTTAGATCAAAGATAAAAGTGATTTAGGAAATTTGGCATGAGGGATGATTAGAGGGGGAGAATGTAAAATAGGGAAAGCTGAGGCAAAAAATGCAGAGTTTGGTAGGGGGTATTGAAATTTATGGCAAAGTGATTGGTCTTGCGACCAGAAAAGGGCAAATAGGAAAGATAGAATATTGATATAAACTCCTGCAAAGCTGGGAAATATGTGTAGATCACCTAGACAGAACCTGAAATAATTTTGTAAAAATCCCAAAAAGGGGAGTTATTCTTCCAGGAGGATGTAAGATCTGGAAGAGAAAATTCAAAATATGAATCTGTTTCACCAATATCTTGCATGGGTTTGTTTAGGTACTGAGGAAAAAATGGATTAATTAAGTCTGAGATAATTGAAATTAGAAATTAAAATCAAGTTTGAAACCCATTGGTTCATCTGTAACCTGGATATGTGACACAACACTGGGCCATGATACAGCCTATTCTATTTGCCAGATCAAGGTAAAAAAAGTAGATAATCAAATCGCTGGCAATGGATACAATCAATGAGAGGCATGATCATCTTTCTAGAAAAGATGAATGGTACAGAAATATCATTGAATCTTCACAGAATCAATCATGGGAAGGAAAGAGGGATCAAGTTATGAGGGGGTTAGAACATTTAGGATGAAGGCTATCAAATATCAAAAAACTGATTATCATCAAAGCCCCAAAAAATACACATGAATGGGCACCTGACAATTCCCCATCTCAAGCTCAACCAAAAACTCAAAATCATAGCAGCCTAGTTTTATGGGGCACTGCTAAATATCATCAAAGTTTGGTGGGAACTACAACATAAGAATCTGCAGAAAAGGCAATGGATAAAAAAGAAGAAAAAATGGTTTAAAAAAATAGTGTAGTCTTGAATGAGAATACATTCATGTCCAATAAAAAAAGTTCAACATGATGTAAGGCCAGGATGAATGGAGTCCGTTGGAGGGACACAAAAATAAAGTGAACCATGAGGTCTAGTAAGTAGATGGGGGAATGTATCTTATGAATGGTTAAATGGGTGTATAGAGTATCAGTTGCATTTGTGTTTGGAAATCTTTTAGGTACAACATGGACATGAGGGAGGAATGAAACTTAATGCAATTGAACATTGAATATTGATGTGAGTAGTTCAATTGCATTAAGTTTTTGTATCAAGAAAAATTTAATGTGAGAATACATTTTTAGGTAATTCAAAACTTTGGGCAGGGCTAATATGAAGTGGTCATGATACAGCCTATTCTATTTGCCAGATCAAGGTAAAAAAAGTAGATAATCAAATCGCTGGCAATGGATACAATCAATGAGAGGCATGATCATCTTTCTAGAAAAGATGAATGGTACAGAAATATCATTGAATCTTCACAGAATCAATCATGGGAAGGAAAGAGGGATCAAGTTATGAGGGGGTTAGCACATTTAGGATGAAGGCTATCAAATATTCACACAAGCACACTTATATTAATGGATATGGTGTGAATAATAAAATAGATAGCCTACTCTACCAGAATATATATCTGCAACATTTTTTATTGATGTATGCAACCCTTTTCTAGGGGTTTCTTTGGGTAAGTATTGTCCCATGGACCATGTAATATTGCATACAAGACCGGCGTGCTTGGTCTTGGTCTACAAATTGTAGGTCAATGTAAGATTCATTAAGACCGGCGGTCTTATCAGGGAGCTCAGATAAAAGTATTTGATAATAATAAACTGCAAAAGGTATATATTGAATTATTGAAACGTGTAGGAAGATAGCATTAGCCAGTTAGGAAATATGCTGCCAATGAGGATAATCAGATTTTCATACATACTTGATAAGACCGCCGGTCTTATGGAGGAAAGTTGGGCTCCAACACTTCAGTGGCATGTACGCTCTGAAGCACCAATGGTATATGGTGAATTGGGGTCAAGCAGGCAAATTTATAAAATGAGGGGCTACTGCCTGGTATAGAGCATCTTAATGCTCCATAAATCATACTTTGATGCAGATTTGGTGGTGAGGGTCTGTGTTAGTGTGGAAAAGGTTAATTTTGTTGATGTGGCAGGTATCAGAATAATTGGATTTCAATTTTAGTTTATAGAAACTATTGATAAGTGGCATTTTGGGGAATATTAAACAATTCAGACTCTTTACTAGTAACATTAATATAATCATGAGCAATACACTTAGCTAGCTGATGACGGGTAGGGATAATAAGTCTGGATACATCATTATTTGATTGGCGAACTGAATCAAGGATTTGGTGAATATAACTGCCCAGGTTAACCCATACAGCCTCGTGAGCAGAGGAGGGGCCCTGAGAGGATGAAATTATTCTTTTGAAGATTGATAAGACTTTGAGGCAGTGACTAATACTATATTGTCGGTAATCACGGGTAGAAATGAAGATTCCACGCACACCAGAGAGGAGGAAAGATATTAAGGGAAAGTAGTTGTGGCGGCTTTCAATCTCAGAGAGGGATTTACGGTCAGGAGCATCCTTGGTAGCAACTGTGGTTGAGTTGGATTTTGTCTTGGGTTTCTTGCGGGGATTGTGCTGGTCTTCGGAGTGAGCTTGAATGATGGTGTATGACATAATCATATCAATGATAGTCTTTCGAAGATCATCTAGTGCGTCGCCCGTAGAGGTGGAAGGGGCAGTGGTCAAGGAGTTGGTTACTTTCCCATCCTCAGGTTGACCGTCCGTGATTTGTGGAAGTATTGGCATGGTATTCTTCAAGGTGTTAAGCCAGGTAAGGACAATAACGTGTCGTCTGAGGCTAGATGGCGCAGACTGAATTTCAGGAGCTTTAGGGTTTTCATCCGATATGGTTTGTACTGAGAGTGCAACAGTCTTGGCCCATTCACGGAGTATACGAGGCGGCGGGAGTTTGATCAGGGAACGTACAGCTCGGAAGAAATTGAATTCTGGATGTGGCGATTGGGAGGCGCTGACAATGGTTGTCCCTTCTGATGCTATTTGCTTTTTGATTAGAGTGAAGTTGATAAGATCCTCAATAAACCATGGCTCATGACTCGAAGGAGCAAGAATTTCTGTCGCTGTAAAAGATAGCAAAAGTGGGTAAGCAAAGATTCAAGGTATTTTGAGTAATTTAAGTGAGGCTCACCAGATTCAACAATCTCTTTGATCCAGTTTTCGCAGTTGAACTGGGCTTGGTTGTAGACAAAAGTAGCTGTTGGAATTTTGGTAACATGAGGAGTGTCGAGACGGAAATGCATGAGGTATTGGGCTGCGTCCCACCCTTGCTCCCACTTGGTCTTGGTCACTCGTCCTTTCCGAAATTCTGTGGCCATTTGGTAAATGCAGGTACGGAGAGAATCCAGATTAATGATTGAATCGGCTGGAGCGGTATTGATGGTTGATGGTTGGTCGTTGTTGGAAGGCTCAGCCTCGTGATCGTGCGAAGGTGAGTTGTTGGCGGTAGAGTCAGGCGGGTTGATTGGATCATCTTGATTAGGGACTGTTGGCTGGTCTTCGGCCTTATCATCTTCTGGAAGCGGAGTGAGAGATGAAGCAATGTGAGATCGGGGGTGAGTAGGAGCGTCTTCATCATCGCTGGGAGATGAGTCTGTGTCTTCATCCAAGTGGTGTTTCTTATTTTACCCGTTTGTTGATGGGCCAGACTCCTCGACAGGGTTAGAGCGTCCACGGTTCAAGATCCGAGTCGGAGCAATCAATTTGTGGGAATTAAAAGTAGTGGGGGACTTGGAAGGGTCATGGGAATCTTCAGGTAAGGATTGGTCTCCAATCTTTTCGGCTGCACAATTGGGTGCATTGAGAGTGACTGGGGTGGTCTTCTTGGTAATGGTAGCTGAGGTTTCAGGGCGATCTGGGGTGCCTTTGTTGATGGGATGTTCGTCTGGGAGATGAGATTGTTCCTCTGAGGCACCATTGCTTTCATGGGGTTGAGGAGGTAAAGTCGATATGTGAGAAGTGATCGCAACTGGCGTATGACTCTTCTTTTTGGTCCTGGAGTTGGGCTTTGGTGGGGCAGACGAAGATGGCCGAGTGATGGTTGGTTGACTGGAAGGCTTGACCATCAGGCATTCGTGGGTAGGGAGGGTTTTACTCTCCTCATATCCTGTTGATGAAAAGTCAACCTCAGCCATTGGGGGGATTGGTTTATAGAGAGAATGCATACCTTTTCGTAAACTATCCAGACGGGTAACAATTCCTTCAACATCCTGTTTGATCGATTTGGGTATACGTAATTGGTAACACGCCTTAGCAAAATCCTGGACTTTGGTGACCTTCCTGAGGAACTCCTCCTCGCCTATCTCTTGAATTTCCGACTCGAGTAGCGGCTTGCCCGAACATATTTCTGGGGGGGCAGGCAACATTTCTGTGTCAGGGCTGCGGGGGGGTTTCTCGAGATTGTCTGAAGGAAATGACATTCTGTAAGAGTCGGGGTCTGGAAAAGCAATGGAAAAAATCAACAAAAATGGGCATGACAACCGGAAAAAATATGATAAGTGTGTGAATATGACTGACCTGGTGGTGGTGTGGAGGGAGGATGAGGTGAGGGAGATTTTTTGGGTTCAGCTGCTGTCTGGGTTGAGGTTGAGTCGGTCACAGATTCATTTTGAATTGCATCATTCATTTTGGGGTTAGGGGGGGGGGGGTGATAAGAAAATTAAATCAAGTATAGAAGGTTGGGAAACGAGTAAGGAAGAGGATGTGGGGAGAAATTATTAACCAATTTGAGAGGGAGGACAAATCGATGGGGGGGGGGGGAAGTCTGTGCTGAAAGAGCTCTTTATCAAGGAAACAATTGGTAGTAGATGCTGTCGAGGAAAAAAGTAATGGGGATGGGCCCCTCTGTGATGTTCAAGGCAATTTGCACAATGGTGACCCATCATTGCATGAGCAACGTGGGTTTTCAACTAAAACCTTTCAGCTTGATGACAATTTGTTTGTGCTCACAAAGGGACCTGCAGGTACTAAGGAAAGTTTGTTTGGCTTCAGGCAGGAATTTTGATGATAGCACAAGGTGGAATATGTGACATGACATCATCTGGAAAGTGAGTGGTAAGCATGGCGGTACTTTTTCGGTTGGTGAGATTGGTAGAGGATAATCAAACCTCAGGTAAGTTTGCTGAGTTTCTAGAGTGCAGATCTGCACAGATTGGTCAGCACATGGAGTTTAAGGTAGAAGGTGGGAGCTTATAAATACCGTGAATCTGGAAGAACAAAGTTATTTGGGTTTTGCGTGAGCCAGTCAACAAAGTTGCATTCATGCACATTTTGCCAATTTGGTCAAAACCAAGGGCAATGAGATACATAATGCTGTATGACCCCAAGGTGAAAGAATCAAATAGCTTAAGCGTATGTTTGACAAGGCGTTTCAGTAATCTCATGGATTTGGGGGATAAAGGTGATCAAAAATGTGAAGGGGTATTGATACCTCTGCGGTATCCTTAAGACCGCCGGTCTTAAGGGTGACTCAAGTTAAGCAAGACGGTGGGAGGACAACGGATTGTATTCATCATTTTCTTTCCAACGTTCGGGTAGAGGGCATGCATCAATGGGTGTAAAACGTGGGTACATGTGAGGAGAAGCTGGATCGATGATCCATGTAAACAACACAGTCAGGCACTAGTCAATGCGGATTTGAACCTATTTTCATCATAGCGATCAGTCAGACCACTTCAATTCCATGTCAACATACAAATTATGGAAAAGGAGCTTACCATGGAGGCGGACTTTCCCTTGGAGTTGTATCCACCGGAGCTACCATCACTATCCTTGGGTTTAGAAGGTGTGCTTTGTTCAGGGCTGGAGGAACGGGGAGGAGATTCGTTCCAGGGCCTGGCAACTGGGTCTGAAAATAATCAAGCATTAGTTTCCCAATCAGTTCCTGTTACATGAATAGACTTCACCTCGGTTGAGTTCCTTTCTTCTCGCCGCCCACATTTCTCGGAGGTTGGGTACTACAGATAATGAAATTCCTTTGGCAGAGGCCTGTTTGTTCCATTTAAATTGCAATTCCTTGGCTTTGTACCACTGGATAGCTTCGGTCATGGGGCGGAAGAATTTGCTGTCGGAGGAAATGGTTGAGTATTCATTCTCATCTTCATATACTAAGGGCTCCCACTGATTAACAATCTCTATAATTTTTAATTCTATCTCATAGAGCCATTTGTAGTGCGCTTCAATTTGATATTCTTTCTGGGTGTAATTTTCAAATTGACTTTTAGGAGAACAATTCATGGTTGAAGTTATAGGGTTGCGAGTTAAGGCTGATGGGCAGGTAGGTCTTAGTGTCTGCAGGATGTATTAGACTTGGGGTTGGGTGATTGTCAGAGGAAAGGGGGGAGTTTGGGAAAGGTTGGTGACGGTACATACTTATCCTGCAACTCAAATGTGAGATGTAACTGACATCGGCTATGTAAAAGTGTCTTCCCTGACAAACAAGCCAAGGTTTTTTTGCGGTGGTGTATAGCTTACCCTTAAACTCAATTGAAATTTTGGGAAGGATTGCATTTTAGCAAGTGAGTTGCTCGGCAGGTGAAGTGTACCACTTTGGAATTAAGATGAGGAAGTAGTGCGCAAGCAGATTGATACACTCAATTATTTTACATGTGATCAATTTTAATCACCTGACTATGAATTGAGAGTGACTCAATAGTTAGAATCGTTGATTAGATGGAAAAAAAGGCATATCTGGGTGCCTGCAATAGAAGGTGCCACATTGAATGTAAGATGTGCAGAGCCGAGTAGGCCCGTATCCTCAATGCATCCTTGCTCTATCCTTATCCTATGATGAGGATACAGCGGGGATAGCTTGCAGATACATCTCTCCTTTCTTTGGTCACCACAAGAATGACTCACATTGTACAACACATACACCAGACCCCATTGGTATGCTTGTGATCCCCTTCAAACCCCATGACCTTAAGCATACCAATTCCATCCACAGTAGCACAACCATTCCGCTGCCAAGGATCAAACAAGGCCCAAGATCTGCTCTACCACACAACATCACACATACAAATAAGGATGAATGTGACCCTATCGGAGATTCCACTCAATATCCTGATAGTCTCAATTGACATCATGTACCTACCTCAATTGAATAGAATTCCTAGCAAAAGGTGTTTATCTCCAATGCTTTCACATTTCTTTCAGCATCATAATCCATGCACTTCACCATCAAAGATTATATATAATGGTGAGTTGCCACTGTGGCCATAGGGGAGGTCTTTATGTGTCATCAATGACATCCACTGCAAATAATAATTGCCCTGTTCACATTAAAAATTATCCTCATGCACAATTAGAGAACTTGTCTGGCCCAGCAAATTTCATTCTCGGACACATCTGTGTCAGATGTGCCACACCTTGTGTCTCAAAATTCGTGGACCTTCACCCCTGTCATTCAGATAAATTGGGGTGTTTTTAAAATATTCCAGGGTTGACATTTCAATTGTGTTTCCGGTCAACTCTCAACCAAACTGCAACTTACATGCATGTTGTCAGCGCCGGTCTCTTGCGTGACCGGGCGTTGATGGGGTTTAATGGTCTCACTATAACTGCAAGGGCAGCCAATGGAAGAGAACCGCACCTCGACGCTAGGAAGCGGAGGGGTTAGCTCCCTGGGTTAGAGGGGACACACGCGGAATGAGCTTCGCGGTGCCGAGCTTAGAGGATGTACAACTCTCTTCTAGGCTACAGTAGTGACTTTACTGTAGTCTAGGAATGGAGGGAGATGATAAAGGGTAGATGTAGGTATGCAATAAATTGTAATAGATTATAAAAAACCCCACTCACTTGATTTAAGTAAGGATAACAGGTTTGTATGGCAATAATCTCTGGGGGGAAGAATCCTAGAGGGAAAGCCCTCCCCCTTAAGTATTGCAAGGCAGGGTTCCAACTGCCTGTTGGACCGGACAGGTCCACAGATGATCATTTTATGTATTTAAATCACAAATGATCAGAACATGTATTTAAATTAAGATTACATCAAAAGTGGAGGGAATGACATCATTTCTCTCTATGGGAAATCCATACAGAGAGGAATAAATTAATCAATTCCCAAAGTGTAGTAATCTCTCTAATTACAGAATATACTTATAGAGAAAGAAGAATAAACTTTATGTACATAAGTTAGCATCTCTGTAATAAAGGAATATTAATACAGAGGAAAATACTAAGTTATTCCACGGAATTACTTAGGAGAAAAAATATAAAAAAGGAATGAATAAAAATACAATAGAGTGTTGAGGGGGATTGAACACAGGGTGTTGGTAAGAATTGTCTTAAGACAGTTCTTAACCACTACACTAGCCTGTTTGTACTTATATATTCACATTGTAGACACATGGGCTATAGCCTCAGTGTCTGACATTCGCCCCCACTAAAAAAATTACTCTACGAGGAATTTTTTGACCTCTTGGAAGCCCTGAATTGTCTTAACAAAACCTGACAATTCTTAATTTTATCAATCTCTAACCACATATCTTGATCAGGTTGACAATTCTTAAACCTAACCAAATAAAGCTTACAGTCTTTACTTTGTTTCCTAACAATCTTTTCACTTAAAATTTTGTGAGGGATTTTGTCCGATACTTCACTCTCTATAGGAGGACGGACTTCATCTTGCTCAACTCTTAAAGGATTAGTTGTAGGATCCACATATTTTTTACACAAACTTATAGGGAAAGTAGGATGTCTTTGGGCAAATTGATCTGTAAGTATTACTTCCACGGCATTTCTTCCATGAAATGCTTTGATCACAAATGGTCCAATAAAGGCATCTTTCAACTTTCTTGGGCCAGCCAAATTATTAAAATTTACTGTGGAAATTAAAACTTGCCCACCCACTTGTAAGTCATGGTCCTTATGAGACTTGTCCCATCTTTCTTTATTATATTCAACTGCCTCTTTGACACATACACTAGCCTTCTCTTCAGCCTTGAACATCATTTGCTGAAAACACTCAGAACTTGGATGTAAGGTAACAGTCTTAGACAGTAAAAAGTCTTTAGGCATATTAGGGATCCAACCTCTCTCAAGTTCAAAGGGAGCAATTTCAGTTACTGAATGTTTGCTAGAGTTGTAAGCAAATTCTAGAGCAGGCAGCAGGGATACCCAATCATGCGTGTAACCATCGCTTGTCTTAAAGTCCAAACCATAGGCACAATATCTTCTTATCATGTCCTCCAATGTTTGAATCATCCTCTCAGCCAACCCATCCGTTTGTGGATGATAAGCAGTGGAGAAAGCTAACTTGGTACCCAGAATTTCAAAAAGATTTTGCCAAAAATCAGAAGTAAATTTTGGATCTCTATCACTTATAATTATTCTGGGGCATCCTACATCACTTACTATGTTGTTCCAAAAAATCAGTGCTATATCCATAGCACTACTATCTTTGTAACAAGGGAGGAACCTAGCTCTTTTGGAAAATCTGTCACACACCACTAATACTGCATTAAAATTTTCAGTTCCTGCTGGTGGTAAAGCTGTCACAAAATCCATATTGATTATTTCCCAACGAGTCTTAGGTTCTTCAATAGTTTGTAAAAGGCCAAATCTTTTTCCAGTTGATTTGTTGGCCTTTTGACATCTTTCGCAAGAGTCACAGTAATCTGATACTTG